CCCTCTCTCTCTCTCTCTCTCTCTCTCTCTCTCTCTCTCTCTCTCTCTGGTGGGATCTCCTGCTTCCAGGAAGAAAAACAGAGATCAGAAGGCCCTTCCAGCAAAGTGGCATGCTCTGGAGAGACTGGAGAGACACGATCTGAGGCTCTTCACTCCTTTGCATGACAGGGATTTTGCGGATGTCTTACAGGCTTTGTAAATGGACTTTGAGTTGATCTAAGAGGACCACATTGGTGGGCCTGATCTAATCAGGAACACTTTTAGAAGTTAAGAGAGGCCAAGTTGAAGAGATTTTCCTGCTGGCTTTGGAGACAAAGGCTGCTGTACAGAGAGACAAGAAACAGAACACAGAGAATGGTCTCAGCTGATAGTTTCTGAAAAGCAGGGACTTCAGCACCACCACTACAAAGAACTGAGTTCTGCCATCAGCCAGTGCACTTGGAAGAGACCCTGAAGCTGCAGATGCAGCCTGAAGAGTCTCCTGACCTGCAGAAGTTGAGAGTTTAGACATATTCAATGCCTGGTTGCACAGTTTAAGGAAACTATGTAATGTAACCACTGAAACAGAGACACTAAGGAGGCAGGGGCAGGACCCCATCTTTCCCTGTCCTGTGTGCCCTTCTCTGCACTGGCTGTGAGGAGGGTTCTTCTGTCTGTGTCAACCCAGTCCTATGGAGAGCAGTCCCCCAGGTCCCTGACAGAGCACAGCTGCTCTCTGAAGGGCTGGAGGGACACTGGTGATGGATGGAAGCTACTCAGTGAACATGCTGTGGCCTGGAGCCAGCCCTGTTGACTTTACTTAAGGATTATCCTTTCTCAGCTGTTTTCACAGGAGGCTTTGGGTAGTAAGTTCTCTCAGCATTTGCCTGAATGTGTCTCTAATTTTTTTCTCCTCAGTGCGTGGATTCACCTGGCCCAGCCTGCTAGGTGATCGGGCTCTTTGCTTAGCATCAAAATCTGTGACTCAGGGATCCTGCAGTTCCCGTGATGAGTCCCGTTGTGCCTTAGGAGGCAAGCAGTCACTTCTCCCTGGTGACGTTTAGAAGGCTTCTGCCTCGTGGCATGCGGTAGCGTCACTGCTGTCTTATCTGGTAGATGCTGTCTTCAGAACGCAGAGATATCTGGATTTCTAAGAAACTCTTTCCTCTAGGCCAATGTTTCTCAACCTATGGGTCACGAGTCCTGTGGGGAGGGGGGTCACACATCAGATATCCTGCAGATCACATATTTACATTACAATCCATAACAGTAGCAAAATTACAGTTTTGAAGTAGCAACAAATCAATTCTATGGTTGGGGGAATCATCACAACACGAGGAACTGTATTAAAGAGTTATAGCATTAGGAAGGCTGGGAACCACTGTGCTAGGCACTTCAAGACATCTTCACACCATGGGTTTTTCCCTCTCTTCCTCCTTTGCTGCCTTGTGGGAGAACAGACCCAAAGGTCCCACTTGAGCTATAAGATCTTATATCCTTGACTTATACGTGAGAACGGGGGAACAGACAGGCCAGGGAAAGGTAGTGAGCAAGGCTAAGAGACAGACTCATCCTGACTTGCTTCCTGGATCCCACAAAGCTTAGGTATTGTGGTCAGATGGCCTTTCTGATGGCCATCAACCAGGCACCAGCTTAAGGAAGACAGGGCCCTGCCAAGTGGGGTGACTCCCTTTGACAGTTCTCCAGAGGGCACAGCCCTCAGTAGTTGATACTTCCAGGGCAGGTAGGGTGCAGCAGCAACGTAGCCACATGGCTCCCGCTCTGAGCAATATCCACAGCCCTCTCTTTGGTTCTCTGGTTTACACACGGGTGGTTTGCTTGGATTCATATACAAGTCACCAATGACATCATTGATTATTATTTTCTATTCCCCTTTGGCTTTCTAATTTTAATAACTACATTCTTCTTGTCTAGAATGTTAAGAAAGTCAGCTCATCTTTTTCTTAGCATCTTTCCATTTGGTTACATATTTAATATGGCTTTCTTTAATTTCCTTAGTCCTTTCCAGTACATTTACTTAAAAACTTTCTTACATTATCCCCCCCAATGTTTTGAGAGGGGTTATCCCTGTTTTTAACCCATTTTCTAGCACTTGTTCACAATGAATCATTCCCTATGGGTCTTATAATTTATATGAAATCTCACATTCTACATAAGAAATTTAGGCTGTATAATTTTTGGCTATGAGCAATAGAGTGAATGAGACTCTATTGCTGGGAGTCCTTGAGAAGTCAGGTTAGGAATTGAGCTACTATCAGAAGCCCCAAGACTCTCCCACAAGGACTCATTTCTGTGTCGGTGCCTGGCTAGCTGTCTGAGTGCTCCATGCTGTCTGTGGTATTGACCAGACCAGAGTGAGAGTAGCCTCTGCGCCCTGCTCAGGGGTAACCTCAGCTTGTCTTCCTGCCTGGAGGGCATGCTTCCGCTACCCTGTGCTCTCTTTGAAGATGTCAACTCCATCTCCTTCCTTGTGCACTCAGCCCCCAGGGCTTGGGTCAGAAAGACCGGGAAAGTTGTTTGCCTGATGAATACATCTGTGTGGGATTTTTCTTCCTCTCCCACCTCTACTGGGAGCCCAAATCCAGGGTCTCATGCATATTAGATTTCTGATCTTTAGTTTTTTTGGCTTTTGAATGCGGGGGGGGGGGGAGTCCTCTTGATAGCCTGCTCACCTAGCTATGTCTGTTCTCAAGGGCTGTCTTTTAGGCCACATTCTTAGATCCGTTTTGTAAGCTAGTCTCCTTTTCTGTAGAATCCTGAACTTTGCCCTCTCCCCGTGCTGAAACTGAAAATGACAACATTCTTCTTCAACTCTTGTGCCTCTATTTCTCAGGCCAGCCCAGAAAGTTGCCTGCTGCCCGTCTCCTGGACACCTTCAGGTCTTTGGCTCTTGCCTTTTCACATCTAACATCTCTTCCCCATATGAAGCCTGGATCCCTGCATGAACTTTGGCCTCTGCCCTCCATCCATAGTGCCTGCCATCAGGATAATCAGTTTTTGCTGTTTTTTTTTCTTTTTTTAGTTCTTAAATTTTTTTTAATTTTCTTTTTACTTTTTGTGTCTTTCACATGATCCACCTTGATCCCATCCATTTTCCCTGTCCCTTGATATCCACCCTCTGCCATTACAAACTCCCCTCCCCCACAAAAGGAAACTCCCCCTTCCCCAAAACAGAAAAAAGAATCTTTTCCTGAAAGCTGTAGTGTGACACCGTGAGCCACACAGTAAACCCTTGTCCAAATATCTTTATTTGCAAGTGTCCATTGCAAAGTCACTGCTCTGGTTCAAGGACTCTGGTTTCTGCTACCTTATTGATGCTGGGCCCTCACTGGAACTCCTCTTGGATATCCTGTTGCTGCCCTGTTCATGGAGGTCCTGCAACTTTGCAGATCATAGATGGGGTGGGCCAACTTATAACCCTTGTTCTGGGCCTGGGTGGTTTCAGGGTTGGTCAGTCTGCAAGTGCACCTCACCACCATTCTCACCGCCAAGGTGAGCTCTCCAGCATTGCCATGGTTAGTTCAGCCCATGCAGTGGTGAGCAAGGGGCGGGGCCAGTCCTGTTTTCCCACCTCAGGGTTGGCTCTCCCACACCTGCACCATCAGGGCCATCTCTATTGTGTTGGCCAGGCGAGGTGCAGGGGCCACTCTCCCAATACTGCAGCTGGTGAGGGGCAGGGACAGCTCTTCTGCTCTTGTGACCTCAGGGCCAGCTGTCCCACCAACCACAGGGACTATGGCTGTTTGTATCAATAGCCTGGTTGAACCATCCTTATTTGGAGTAGGTTTGAGGAGGGGCCTTGGTGGGCAAAGGACAGTGAGACAAAGACCAGGGCTGGAGGGTTGGGGTGGCATGAGCATTGGTGACTTCCATGCCTGCTTGACATCTCTTCCCACCAGTCAGTACCCCTGTAATTCAGGAGCTATCTTGATTGAGTCTCTAGCTCCTCACCCAGTATTTCACCATAAGAGCGTGTCTTCTTTCTCCCAGTGGTTGGAAGATAGCTCTGGGAACACCAAGATCACTCTGGTGTATATATTTTCTCTTAGCTTGGGATTTGCAAATGTTTGCATTTGTAAAAATTATACAATATTGTAACAATGTTTTGTATTTTTCTCCCTTAAAACTTTGACTTTCTTTCCATCTGCGTTGTGTGTAGTCAGGAGATGGTCTATAATAGTGTTGCTTTCAGTTTGGAACGAGTGAACCGGCGGAAGTTTAAAACAAACAGTGAGTAGCAGACAAAGAGAAACAGCAGATAGCAAAGCGTTAACACATCTAGCGACGGTGCTCACAACTTCTAGCAGAGACAACTGGAGCAGCTCGACTCAGGGGGCAACCAAAAGGTAACAACATCAAATCCCAGGCTTGTAAATGATGACAGAAGCCCAGTTAAGGCAAAGAGCTGGAGTTCCCAAATGAGAGTCCTGGGCAGAGCAGTGTCCCCTCAGGTAAGGTTTCCAAGTAAAAGGACAAATAGCAGCAGACAGAAAACGTTATCAGACCAGGTACTCAAAATTACCCAGCAGAAACTGTGTTAGTTGAGGCAGTCAGCCAGAGCTCTCTGTTGAGAATCCTGGTAAGGGTTCTCTCCATAGAGTAGCTTCTGCTTTCTCGTTCCCACTGTGGACTTTTCTAGTATGGGATAAACACTAAAAACTTTGCCGCGATAGTCCACCTTCTAGCTGTGCTCAAGGACACAGTGTCTTCAACCCCCTTAGTTCCTTGCTGTTTTCCCTCTCTGTTACAGAGCCAGAGACCAGCCTGACCCAGGACAGGGGGTTTTAGAGGACACTCAACATAGACATGCTTAGGTCCGGAGTAGAGGGCAACCCTGCTTCCCAGCCAGGCTCAAACAACACATGAGAACTCAGCAATATAAATTACAATGAAAAACCCCACTATTATAGAAAACCATGTCACTTTTATTACATTTGTTTATCATACATGTGCACTTGAGCATGCCATGGCACATGTGTGGAGGTCAGTGGAAAATTTGCAAGAGTGCGGTCTCTTCTCCACCTTGTGGTCTCTGGGCTAGAACTCAGGTCTTCAGGCTTGATGGCATCCATCTTTACGTAATAAGCTATCCTGTGGAACCCAATCATTTCTCTTTTTCCCTGTGAATCTTTAACTGGATATTGACTGACTAGAATAGAGTTCCAGAACTGAAATCACTTGTTGAAAAAAATATACAAAATTGAAGGTTTCATCTGGGCTTGTAGTTGAGAAATTGTCTAAAAGTTTCCATCAGTTGACACTCAGTGACGGTGTAATGGTGTTTATTTCTTCATGTTTGCTTTTATCAACAGATAAAGTGTTGCCTTTCTCCTGTTATTAAGGAATAGAACATTCTGTCATGTTCATTGGGCGTTCCTTCTTTTGTTTTCTTGTCTTTGCCTCTGCTTGTTTGGCTTGGAAAACTGTGCTAGTCTCAGCTTTGAAAGCCTCCTTCCTGTGAAGACCAGCCTCTGCAAAGATGATGCAAGCCTTTCCCTGTTTTAAACTTCATTTGTGTCCAGATGCTTCAAAAGTGAAGCAGCTACTTCCTGCAATATTGTTTTCAGGTGAAGCCTGAGAAAGGCGTGGCTCTTAAATCCAGGGAGTTTTGAAAGGGACTGACTGCCTTCCTGCAAGCTGTATTCCTTGTGTATTCTTCCTTCCTTTGTAAAGATTGACCTTGCTCTTCCCAGACAGTCCAGCCACTGTCCAGCGGAGAGAAGCACTCATCTGGTTTCTGGTCCCATGGTTTGTGGGCTGCTGGTTCCTGGGTGTTCTGTTGCTGCCTGGTTTCGTCACCAGGCTGTTCACATTCATTTGCCTGTGGTTTACTTTTATACTGCTGAGTAATATTCTTGGGTATTTCACAACTGGGGCTTGTCCATTTCACTGCTTATTATGTTAACCATTTTAATTAAGTTAAGCGATCAATACTCCCTTTCATGATTGTTGATGGTATGCCTGACCGATAAGCCCACGGACAGGTTCTTTTTTAAAGTACTTTTTTTTTTTTTTTAAAAAAAATGCTTAGGTCTCCCTCTTCGATGTGGTAGAAATAAATTATTAGCAGTTTGCATTCCATCTTCTTCACTGATTTGAAAAGCTGCCTTCATTACGCCCCACAGGAGTAATATTACAAACAACTAACAATTGGCCAGACACGGGCCTTGGCTTAGGAAGCAGCTCATTAGTGACAGCCTGGACAGACAGTTGCTATCAGTTCCCACCCCGAAGCCAGTTAATTACCTGGGAGCAATCTTACCGTCATTCGTCTTCTTGACCGTGTCTCGAGTGTTCATCTTCCTAATCACGCCGATTCCCAGTTGTTTGGAAGTTACACCTAGGTATTGACTGTGTTCTCTGGTTATGACTGGGAATTCCCCGTCACGTGTTCTAAAGTATCTGCTGTGATGGCCCAATGCTTACTCTGCACATTCACTACTGCAGTTAGTATGTCTAAAAGGTTTTTCCTACTTAGGTGCTGGTGACCAAACCCAGGGTCATAAGCACGAATCTTGCCACACAGTTTGGACTGGCTCTACTTCTAAACTGAGATGCCAGGATTGTAGGTGCACACAATTAATTATAGGTTATCTGGCCCACCCAGATCACTCTCAATATTAGAGAAGAAACCCAGAGCCTTGTTTGTGTCAGTCAGGTACGCTGTATAGTCTTCAGTCTGAAAGGAGTTTTTTTGTATTTAATTTTTAATTGGTGGGTTTCTACTAATTCTTGGGTGTTTGCGTGTAAGGGGTCTGCCTTTATTTCTGATCTTTGGACAGTTTGGGACTGAGACTCTGTGAAGACCTTTGGAACCCTGGGTGGTGCTGGTGTGGCCCCTCTTCTAAGCTAGGTTTGCTGCTACAGCCCTTCTATGTAAAGAGCACAACTCTTCTTTTTGTTTTTTAGAGACAGGGTTTCTCTCTGTAGCTTTGGCACCTATCCTGGATGTTGCTCTGTAGACCAGGCTGGCCTTGAACTCACAGAGATCCACCTGCCTCTGCCTTACGAGTGCTGAGATTAAAGGCACCTGCACCACCACGCTCAACTGGGAACCCAACTCTTAATCAGCATACAGCAATACTCCCCACCCCCTCTGAAACCTACCTTTTGAAAACAACTGCATCCGAGATTAGATTTCAAAACTTTCTCATGTAACTTTTGTTCAGGTTTGTCTTCCATTCAGTACTCGTAAAATGTCTGATTACTGGGTATCTTAATGCTTTCAAGTCCTTCTGAACTTCATTTTTCCTCGGAACGTTAGCTGGCTACAGATCATGCGTTATTTTGTATGTAAATTGGTTGGTGTACTTTTCCATAGGCAGCTGCACTAGCGCTCCTAAGTGCTGTCATTTTTGTCTGCTCTTTTACTATATTCCATAAATCAGCCCTTAGTTTCACAGCTGAGCTACCCTCGCGTATGAATTTCTCCCAATGAACGAAGCTTTCTAAACACTATTACCCTGAGTTCACGAAAAGACTCCATTGCATTCTGAGAATTGTTTTAAACCACAAAATTGGAGCTTTCTCCAAATTATGGACCCAAAACGCTATTAATCTCTGCTCAACCCTACAAGGCAAGGCCTAGCAAATAGGCCAGTATCCTAGGTCACTAGTCAGAGGCCATGCAGGGTGGACCAGATGCTCTCTCCTTCAGGCTGGACACGGGATTCTGGAAATAGCATGCACGCACTCAGGATGAGAAGTTGTACTACTCTCCTGACGAAAGGAACTGGACCCAAGGGCGCCAGAAACGTAGCTTTTCACGCCCCTCAACTGTGAACGCCAATCATAGGTGCTTGGCCCTGGCCTAGTGGACAGACGCCCAGCGATGTCGCCAGCTACAGCCTTGCGGCTGTGAACCCGCTGCCGGCAAACAGGGACGCTGTGACGGCGACCCCGGGCCTACACCCCCAGTTCCCACGGCCGCGCTCAAAGCCCCGGTGCCAGAGCCGCACCCCCGAACGGCGCGCCCGCCGCGGGGCAGGGCGGGGCCCGGCGCGCCTGCGCACTCCCTCAGGCTCGGCGTCCCCCGGCACGCAGCCCACGTGACCTGTGCCTTGCCCAAGATGGAGGTTGTAACCAGGCCTGGCGGGGCCCCCGCCTCAGTTCGCGCCCCTCTGCGCCCCCTTGGAGCGTGAGACAGGAGCTCATGCACACCGTATTGACCCAAGCAGCGCCGCGGGCTGCCGAGCAGGTCTGGCTAAAACTTCCAGTCAGTGCCCGCCCCAGCTCCCTGCTCTTTCTCTAGAGAGAAACTACCATCGCTGGCGCCTGCAAATCCTCAGTACGCCCCGCTCGCCGGGATTGACAAACCCGGGAGCCAATGGGGTTTTGAACTTTTGCAAGAGGGCGGGTAGAGGCGGAGCCTCTTTGTAGTGCCCGCGGAGTGGGGCCGGCTGTTGGGCTACTGTGGGGCGGGCTTAGGACTCGCGGGCTAATGGGAGGGCAGCTGAGCGCTCGGAGGCGGAGCCGAGCCGTAATTGACGCTTTCTTCATTAGAAACCAGGCAGGGGGCGGGGCCCGCGGGGGGGGGGAGGTGACGCAAGGCCGTTGAAGCCAATGGCTGACGGGCCGCCGGCGGGAGGGGCGGGGCCGGAGTGCCTGACGGGCGTAGGGCGCGGCCTATCCCAGCGCGGCTCTGCGCTCGAGGGGGAGCAGCATCATGGTTCAACGTGGGTCAATTTTTTGTGAATGAGGAGGGGAGGTTGTGGGGCCGCCGCCGCGGAGCACCATCCCCGCCGCCGCCGCCCGAGCCCGAGCCCGCGCGCCTGCTCGCGCCGCCGCCGTCGCCGCGCCGCCTCACGCCCGGCCCCCTCAACGCGGCTGCTGTCGCCGTCGCCGCCCGAGCCCGCCCGCCCGCCGGCGGCGGCGCAGGCTGAGGAGATGCGGCTCGGAGCGCCCGAGCAGGGCTAGACGCGGCCCGCCGCCGCCGCGGTAAGCCACCGGCCGTCATTGTCCGCGCCGCCCGGTCGCTGGCGGCAGGTGGACGCCCGGCCCCGCCGAGGCCTCGGGGCCCTGCGCCGCGGGCTGGCGGGCGGGAGAGCGGCCTGCGCCGGCGGGCGGGCAGGTGGGCGCGCGGGGGCGGGGGCCGGGGCGTTTATGTAACTTTGTCAGCCTGTGAGTTTGCAGAAAACGCCCCTCGGCGACGGCTGGCGGCGGGGCGGGGGCCGCGGCTGGGCCCGGACCGCCGCTGGGCTGGCGAGGAGCTGCGCGAGCCCGGGAGGCGACCCGGTGTCCACCCTGAGCGAGGGTTCCAAAGGCACGGCTGTAGCCCACACCGCGGGAGTCGGTCGGAAAGGCCGGGTGTGGAGCCCGTGTTCTCCTTTAATGCACACCGAAAATTTGTTAATAACTTGCAGCCGCCGATAGCAGTGTTTTGGTTATTGCATGCTGTAAATTGACCTGCTGTGACACGATTTTCAAATAAAGCGTCGCAGAAATTAAACTTAAGTTATTTTAGAACTAATGACTTTCTTAACTAAATCCTAATTGCATTACTGTAGAGACCTACCTAATTGCTTTCCGAGAGCCACTCCGCCTGCTCGGGGAGGGAGGAAAGGCCTGTGTAGTCACTTTGCCTCCCTGATTTTCTCTGCTCAGGCTTTTCTGCCTGTTCCCGCAAACCACCTAAGCATTTAAGGCCTCGGAGTATTAACGTGTAAACAGCCCCGCCGCACTTTGGGGCTAGGGGGATGCTGGCGGCTTGCACCTTGACCTGGTTTCGCTTTTTCCTCCATGATATGATCGTGGTTGCCGGGAGTTTTAATTGCTTCTGATAATTCCGTGCATTATTTGAGGACCGGTCTGATGAAAGCTAGTGTGGTGTGGTTTCAGAATCCAGCCAGAAAAGTGGTGGTGGTGGTGGGGATAGTGCTTGGGGAGAGGCAGGGAGGTTGAATTAAGAAAACTCAGCTGCTTGTACACAAATATACACTATAGCAGTTACAAGGCAGCAAAAGTTATTGCAGAATTTTGCAGTCTCTATGGCAACACAATTACTCCATTATAATTGGAAATGCAAAATGCCACCCAGTTAGAAGTTCATCAGAATGGAGTTTTGGATATCAGAAATATGTGAGATTTAGTTAAAAATTCATTTTTTCCCAGGTAGCTTCTGCAGCTCTAGTCTCGGTTCAGTTGTCTATTTTTAAGACCCATCCGCTTTCCCAGATCTGCCACTCCTCGGGATCTGTGGCATCTTTCCCCAGAAGAACTCCCCATTTGTGTGGGAGGGAAGTATTTTCATGCCTTTAAAAACACACACCCGACACACTGTAAGACTTCTATGGTTTTCTGTGTTCTGGCTTTTCTTTTAAAGATCAAATGCCTTCCTAAAGAGCAGTAATCACTCAGAAGAGGCTGGGTTTGCTAGAAGGCAGAGAGAGGTAACACTGCCCCCTTTAGGGGTCTGCTGTCTGCTTATAGGGGAGATGGGAGCGTTGTGGGGGAGGAAAAGGACTGTGGACTACAAGCAAGCCTGGAAGGCCTAGGGACCAAAGACAGATGTGACCAAAGCAGCCCTAGCTGGAATGTTCTGTGGTTAGCAATATCAGAGAGCCGTGCAACATAAAACGCCCCTGAATGGCACCTCAGAAGCCTAGGGGCTACTGCTGCACGAGGTGGGCGAGATGACATGGCACTCTGTCTTCGTGGGTCCTCCGGCACCCAGCTTGGCTTCGGTTTCAAATCTGTGTTAGGAGGATGCCCCTCTTGATGTTTACCAGAAGAGCTGTAGTGCTGGAAGTTTCCACACATCGTGGGGCTGCTGCAGCTTAATTTCGTTATAACTCTTTCCTTTTAACTACTGCATATTTTTGCCCAGTAATCGACTTCCATTTTCCAGCCTCATTGTGAGGTTTCAATGCAGCATGAATGGCTTTGAATTCCAATCCTTTGATGTTGGGGGTGGCACCGAAGGAAAGGCGACTTTGTGCCGTCCTAATTGCCAGAGCAGAAGAAAATTTCATCACTCCCGTCGAGCTCGTCCATGCCATTTTCTATTGAAAACGGATGGTTTTTCAGAACTCTGAGGCTGCCATAAGTAATACATTAATACCTGATGTAGGGAGCCAGGGAGATGCAGAAATGAGAGACACCTGCTGCTGCTGCTGGAATATTGGGGTGGGGGCCTCAGTCCATAGTTTTGGTTGTCTCTGAGGCTCGGGGGTGACTGTGTAGACTTCAGAGGGTGAAGCCAGAGTTGAGTCCATGTCCCATTCGTTGTAACCCATTCTATTCTGGGGTAGGGGCCCCAAAGAGATTTTTGATTCTCCAGTGACCTACTGTTCAGCCAACTCTGGGCTTTAAGTGTGACCCTGACCTTTGAGGTTCATGGCAGTTGACCGAGGGGCAGAGTCAGAAGTGCTGCTGCATTGGAGCAGACCCTGCTCCATGACTACAGAACTCACTGAGCTGAGGTCGGCTGTGTTCTGTCATGAGGTCCGTTTGCTCATGGGCTCATGTGAATGCGCAGTATAGGCTTTGTCTAGGGTGGAATGTGGGCTGGCATCTGCAGCTGCTCTTGGCTTTGCTGCTGCCCTTGCCTCTCTGACATGTCTCCTTACTTCCTGGAAGGCCATACCAGGTCCACACAGATGGCCTCCACTGGAACCCTCCACGTAACTGAACTAGGTTAGAATTCTGGAAGTTCTCGAGCAGATGTCCTCTCTGGATCAGGGAGATTACACAAATCAGTAGCTAGTGTTTCATGAGCACGCGGTCAGGGCCATGGGCCATTCTTGGAGCACTTTCCAGTTTCCTTTATTGCTCCCATAGCTACAAGAGATGGGTGATGCTACACATTCTTTGATAGAAGGGATGTGTGAGAGGAGTGGCAGCCTTGCGTCCCAAAGGCTGAGTTCTTCTTTGCCTCTGCTTGAGGGCCAGAAAGATCCCGGTGTGGAAGGTCAGTGCTGTTGTTTGGACAGCAAGCACAGCTAACTACCTTGAGAAGATAATTTGGAATACCTCTCCAGTGTAGTGTTGGGTTGTGTGTCCTTGCAGCTGTCACGGTTCTCTGAGTGTCATCTGGGTCAGGGAAGTAACGCTGATGTTCTCATGCTGTCTTACATTGTGTCTTCTGTGTATGGTTTTGGGCCAAGGGTAGCATTGAAAGGTTCTGGGTTCCATCCATAGCATTGCAGAAATTGAAAACAGCACAGTCCAATTGGGTTAGCCAGTGGTTTCTACATCCTGTTCCTTGCTTGGGTCTCTTGAGGAGATCTGAGGCTGTCTGGGAGCAGGTGGTGGCAGCAGAAAATGGCCTGTGGTCTGTGTCCATCTTTAACCAGAACTGCTTAGTGTTCACTAGTAGTCTGTCAGTTAGTTACATGGTAAATTTTTATTGGAAGCATGCATTTGAGGATCACAAACTGAAAAACTACTCATTTAAATGTTCTTATCCTAAAAGCAAGATAGAGCTTTAAGAGATAATATTAGCAGATTTAACAGTAAGAAAAAAGTCTCTGGTGAAAGACTCCATAACCAAGATTCAGAAACAAGAGAAAGATACACAATTTATTTGGTCTTTATGAGATTAATGGCCAGTATATAAAGAGCTTTTGCAAACTAACAATAAAAGGATGAGCTTCCCTGTTACAAGATTAGGAAGGAATGCAAGTAGGCAGATCACAGCTAAGAAGAAAAGACTGAGCTTAGCTAATAACCCAGTGTACAGAAGATTCCGTCTGTGCCCTTTGTATTAGTTCATTTGATAATAGCACCCAGGGTTGTGATAAGGATTCCTGTCCTATATAAATTATATGTAACAATTGCTTAGACTGGGGCTTAGGCCCATGGAAGTAGAATGTAAGCACTAGGTATTACACACATTTGTTTTGTAGTGAGAGCAATATATACCGTCATGTAAAATGTTTAATTGTTCTCCAGGAAAGTATCAAAATGTGAATGGCCATTCATTCAAGTGGCAACTCTGTAGCTTTGATGAAAGACTGTAATAAGCACATTATACCCAGGTACATGTGGGGCATGGACTGTGCCATTTAAGAAGTTCAGCTCTGTGAGTACCCTTGTTGCTTCAGAGGGATGCGAGGGGGGGATTCTGCCTGTGCATAGCAGGCAGGCAGGGAGGCATTTGGCCCAGAGCAGTCTGCAGACTGGCCTTCTGGTTTTAAGAGTCTCCAAGGTGATACTGTTGGCCATTGGGATATCAGGAAAATGGGGCATAAGAGACTTTCATTGTGTTTATATGTGTTGGTGTTAGTTATACATTTTTGCAGTATAAAAAATGTAAAGTGGTGCAGTAGTTGTATTAAAACAGTTGTTAGTGCTCTATTTCTTTTTCTTTTCTCTTTTTTAAAGGAGAATAACCAGGTCCTTGGGAAGCTGGTAGGAAGACTTAGCATTAGAAGAATCTGAGATTGTTGCTCTGAATCACTCTTAAGCTCTCCAAGGTGGAGCTGACCTGGGTCTGCTCTGCTCCTGTGCAGTCCATGCTGCAGGCTGTTTCTAATGGACCTACGAAAGCAGGTTTCTATCTAACTCTCCATGCAGGAACTCCTCTCAAGGTTTCTCTGGAAGACCCAGAAAGCCTGTGGGTCCTTGCCTCTGGTTTCCTGACCTTCACTCATGGTGTTTCTCCCATTGCTGAGCTTTCACTGTGCTTGCTCTGCTTCCTCGCTTCTGAGAGGTCGTCTTTGGTCTGGGCCTTTGCACAAACTGTTCCTGTTGCCTCTGTCTTGAGTTCATGTCTTCGCTTCAGTCTTCTATTCAACTTAGTTTAAAGGCCTTCTTGCTCTTTCCTCACGTTATCCAGTTGTGCAATTTCAATAGCTTATGGTGGCATTAGTTGTTTAATGTCATCTCTTGCTGGCTGAAGACTTGAAGGAGTCAAAAGGCAAGAGTGCCTCATACCTGCTTTGTGCCTGGTCTATGGGCAGCTCAGGTACCTGATGAACGTGTGTGCAGTGCAGTGC